ACCTTGGCCTCCCAAAGTGTTAGGATCACAGGCATGAGCCACCATACCTGGCCACAGGGCCCAACAGCCACTGAGTATTCAGAGGGCCACCAAGACATCTGTGCTCATTTTTTCCTGCACCAAAGGAAATTGTGTTTCTGTTGCAGGGAAGGGAGAACTCAGTCCTAGGCTGCCATGAGTGAAACTGTCACAACACCTTCCCTGTCACCTCGCCATAGATTTATTTATTAAAAAGGGAAAACCATACTGCAATGATGACACCTGGCAGTAACTACCTTAACCAATTACCAAATTTAGCATCACAAATACTGGGACCATCTGACACAATGTCCCTCCCCAAGTGATACAATTAGGAACACATAACCTCTCCAGTGCAGTATTCTCATCAAAAGTGTAACCTGAATCTAATGGTGAGGACATAGTTAGACAAACCCAGAAACATCCTAGGAAACAACTGGCCTGGACTCTTCCAAAAGGTCAATGTCATAGAAAATAAAACAAAAAATGTGGCTTTAAAAAGGCAAAGCCAGGTGAGGTGGCTCACACTTATAATCCCAAACTTTGGGAGACTGAGGTGGCAGGATCACTTGAGGCCAGGAGTTCACGGATAGCCTGGGCAATGTAGCAAGATCCTATCTCCAAAAGAAATGGCTTATAGCACATTTAATGGTTTTAAATTTATTAGTCTATTCTAGTGAAAGGGAGGAAGAAAGGGAGAGAGTGACAGAGTGAATGGGAAAGGGAGATTCTTCTCTACAAAAAGAGAATGCCAGCTAACAAATACAACTGGAATCTGAGATTTTTTAAATTGCCATTTTGAAATCCTCAGAGAATTAACTGAATGAGGCAAAAATCATCAAAAGATACTAAAGCCATTGGGTGGAAAAAATATTTTTTAATTAGCTGGGTGTGGTGGTGTGTGCCTGTACTCGAAGCTATTCAGGAAGCTGAGGTGGGAGAAGGGCTTGAGCCCAGGAAGTCAAGGCTGCAGTGAGCCATGATTGCACCACTGCACTCCAGGCTGGGTGACAGAGTGAGACACTGTCTCTAAAAAATAAAATAAAATAATAAAACAATTTTTAAAAGAAATGAAGGAAGCATAGCACTGAAATGCAGCAGTGAATCCTGATTGGATGCTGAACTAAATAACAGCATCCAATAACAGCAAAGCTATCAAAAGATACTTAGGTTTTTGGGGAATGCTATACATATGGGACAGTGTCCTAGATGATACTGTGGAATTAATATTCATCTTCTTGTTCTTGGGAAATGTATGCTGAAATATTTAGGAGTGGAGTGCCATAATGTTTACACCTCATATTCAAACGGTTTGGAAAAGAAATGTTAACATTAGGTGGCTGTAAGTGACATATATTTTAGAGTCCACTATATTATTCTTTCACTGTTTCTATGCATTTGAAAATTTTCAGAACAAAAAAGAGGAGGGAAAAAAAGCCTTCCTCAAAGCTGGAAGTGACCATATTACCCAGCTCTTAAGCAGAACAGCACAGTGCTGACATGGGATGGGGTGCAAGGCTGAGCTCTGTTTCTTTCTACATTGGCCCCTCCCACCAGGCAATTCATGGAATCTCTCTGTGCCTCAGTTCCCTGAAGGACGTGAGAATGGTGCCGACATTACCTGGAGTACTTGTCCAGAAAGCTTGGTACCAAGGGATCTCATTTAGCAACAGCTGTTGTTATTCAAAGACTTTTTGTTTTTGGAATGAATACTTTGGCAACCAGTACGGAGGGTGTACTGGATGGGGGAGTTATGTGAGGTGCCGTGTCTTTTTTTTTAGACAGAGTCTCCCTCTGTCACCCAAGCTGGAGTGCAGTGGTGCAATCTTGGCTCACTGCAACCTTTGCCTCCCAATTTCAAGTGATTCTCCTGCCTTAGCCTCCTGAGTAGCTGGGACTACAGGCATGCACCACCACGCCCAGCTATTATTTGTATTTTTAGTAGAAATGCGGTCTCACCATGTTGGCCAGGATGGTCTCAATCTCCTGACCTCGTGATTCACCCGCCTAGGACTTCCAAAGTGCTGGGACTACAGGCATGAACCACTATGCCCAGACAAGGTGCCTTGTCTTGTTTGTCTTCGGAAACAAACAAGAAGTAAAGGGCTGGTGGAGTAGAAAGGTAATTTGCTTTGTCCATGTTAAAAGCCAAAAGGGGGCTGGGTGCGGTGGCTCACGCCTGTAATCCCAGCACTTTGGGAGGCCAAGGCAGACGAATCACTTGAGGTCAGGAGTTTGAGACTAGCCTGGCCAATATGGCAAATCCCATTTCTACTAAAAATACAAAAATTAGCCAGGCATGATGGTGGATGCCTGTAGTCCCAGCTACTCGGGAGGCTGAGACAGGAGAATTGCTTGAATCCGGAAAACAGAGGTTGCAATAAGTTTAGATCCATCACTGCACGCCAGCCTGGGTGACAGATTAAGAGTCCATCTCAAAAAAAAAAAAAAAAGAAAGAAAAGAAAAAGCTAATAGGGAGATTTCCTTGCAAGATCAGAAACTGGAGTGTCTGCCTTCTCCACTTATATTCAACATTGCACTGGGGGTTCTAGCCAGGACAGTTAGACAAGAAAGTGAAATAAAAGTCTTCCAGATTGAAATGGAAAAGGTAAAACTATCTCTATTTGCAGATGACATGATCTTGTATGTAGAAAATTCTCAAGAGATTCACACACACACACACACACACACACACACACACATTTTAGTACTGCTAATAACCAAGATGAGCAAGGTTGAGGGTATGAAAAACAAAAATCAGTTTTATTTTATGCACTAGCAATGAGCAATCAAAAAATGAAACTGGGAAGCTTCCCCTTACAATAGCTTCAAAAAGAATTTAACCAAAGAAGTACAAGATTTGTTCCCTGCAAACTAAAAACACAGCTGCCTGGGCAGGGGGATGGAAATTGACAGGAAAATGACTTAAGGGATGTTTGTGAGGGATGAAAATGTTCCCTATTCTGATTAGGGTAGTGGCTATGGTGTCTACATTTATCAATACTCTTCAAGCTGTACACTTAGCATCTATATATTTTGTCAATACCAGCCTGGGCAACATAGTAAGACCTCATCTCTACAAAAAAATTTCTTTTAATTAAAAAGACACATAGACCAATAGAACAAATGAGAGAACTCTGAAATAAAGCCGCACACCACAATCAGCTGGTCTTCAACAAAATCAGCAAAAATAAACAATGGGGAAAGGACTCTTTAGTAAATAAATAGTGCTGGGAAAACTACTGTGAAACTGGGAGAATCGTATGCAAGAGAATGAAATTGGACCCCTACCTCTCAACCACATACAAAAATTAACTCAAAATGGATTAAAAACTTACATGTAAGACTTTGAACTATCAAAATCCTAGAATAAAATATAGAAAATACTCTTCCGGACATCAACCTAGGCAAAGAATTTATGACTAAGTCCTCAAAAGCAAATGCAACAAAAACAAATTGACAATTGGGACCTAATTAAAGAGCTTCTGCACAGCAAAAGAGACTATCAACAGAGTAAACAGACAACCTACATAATGGAAAAAAAAATTGCAAATTATGCATTCAACAAAGGACTGATATCCAGAATCCATAAGGAACTCAAAAATCAACAAGAAAAAAAATAACCCCATTAAAATGTGGGCAAAGGATGTGAACAGACACTTCTCAAAAGACACACATGCAGCCAACAAGTATATGAAAAACTTTTCAACATAACTATCAGAGAAAAACCACAGTGAGATACGATCTCACATCAGTCAGAATGGCTACTATTTAAAAGTCAAAAAAGAACAGATGTTGGGGAGGTTGTGGAGAAAAGGGAATTCTTACACACTGCAAGTGTGAATGTAAATTAGTTCAGCCCCTCTGGAGAGCAGTTTGGAGATTCCTCAGTGAGCTAAAAATAGAAATACCATTCGAACCAGCATCCCCATTATTGGGTATATACACAAGGGAATATAAATTGTGCTACCAAAAAGACAATTGCACTCACATGTTTATTGTAGCACAAGTCACAATAGCAAATACATGGAATCAATCCAGGTGCCCATCAACAGCAGATTGAATAAAGAAAATGTGGAGTATATACACCATGGAATACTACACAGCCATAAAAAAAGAATAAAATCATGCCCTTTGCAGCAACATGGATGCAGCTGGAGGCCATTATCCTAACCAAATTAACACAGAAACAGAAAACCAAATATCACATATTCTCACTTATAAGTGGGCGCTAAACATCAGGTACACACAGACGTAAAGATGGGAACAGTAGACACTGGGGACTCCACAAGGACTGGAAAACTCCTTATTGGGACCATGTTCATTATCTGGGTGATGGTATCAAGAGAAGCCCAAACCTCAGCATCATGCAGTATACTCTTTTAACAAATCTGCCCATGTACCTCCTGAATCTAAAATAACACTTAAAAAACTAAAAAAAAATTAAAATCTTAGCCAGGTATGGTGGCTTCACACCTGCAGTCCCAGCTATTGAGAGGCTGAGGTGGAAGGGTCACTTGAGCCTAGGAGATCAAGGCTGCAGTAGCTGTGATTACGCCACTGTACACCAGCCTGGACAACAGAGCGTGGCCCTATCTCTTAAAAGAAAACAGTGGGGAGAATTGTATAAAATATTTTTGCGGCCGGGTGCAGTGGCTCATGCCTGTAATCCCAGCACTTTGGGAGGCCTAGGCAGGCAGATCACAAGGTCAAGAGATCAAGACCATCTGGCCAACATAGTGAAACCCCATCTCTGCTAAAAATACAAAAATTAGCTGGACATGGTGGCACATGCCTATAGTCCCAGCTACTCAGGAGGCTGAGGCAGGAGAATCACTTGAACCCGGGAGGCAGAGGTTGCAGCGAGCCAAGATCGTGCCACTACAACTCTAGCCTGGGTGACAGAGTGAGACTCTTTCTCAAAAAAAAAAGGAAAATTGGGGATTTGACACCATCGTGTTTTATTTCTCATTCAGGCAAAATGCGGTGGAGGGGCTGGGAAATCCTGGCTAACGGAGGCTCCACTGTGCTTGAACTATACCGTATGGAACATGCGGCTTCTGAGGGCAGGTCAGCAGGGTAGAGTGAGCCTCCCAGACTGCAGCTCTGAGTGCCAGCTTTCCCAATCTGGGTGACCCACCACTTCCCTCTACATTCCCCTGGCTAGTGCTGGCCACATGGCCCCACCCAAGGCTGAGAGGTGCTGTCTTCCCTCAGTAGGAAGAAAGAGGAAACCAACTTGTAAGCACTAGTAACATCACACACAGCTAATGAAAACAACTAATTGATCCCTTATTGTTTTCTGAGAAGGTCCCTATAAGAAAAATATACTGGCTCCTAAAATTCGTAGGAGCATTTTAGGAGAGCCTGCATAGCCAAAGCAAGACTAAGTGAAAGGAACAAATCTGGAGGCATCACATTACCTGATTTCAAACTATACTATAAGGCCATAGTCACCAAAACAGCATGGTATTGGTATAAAAATAGGCACATAGACCAATGGAACAGAATAGAGAACCCAGAAATAAGCCCAAATACTTACAGCCAACTGATTTTCAACAAAGCAAACAAAAACATAAAATGGGGAAAGGATGCCTTATTCAAATGGTTCTGGGATAATTAACAAGCCACATGAAGGAGAATTAAACTGGATCCTTGTCTCTCACCTTATGCAAAAATCAACTCAAAATGGATCAAGGACTTAAATTTTTTTTTTTTTTTTTAGATGGAGTTTCGCTCTTTTTGCCCAGGCTGGAGTGCGATGGCATGATCTTGGCTCACTGCAACCTCTGCCTCCTGGATTCAAGCAATTGTCCTGCCTCCGCCTCCCGAGTAACTGGGATTACAGGCATGCACCACCATGCCCAGCTATTTTTTTATTTTTGGTAGAGGCAGAGTTCTTCATTTTGGTCAGGCTGGTCTGGAACTCCCGACCTCAGGTGATCTACCCACCTCAGCATCCCAAAGTGCTGGGATTACAGATGTGAGCCACCATGCCTGGCTAAGGACTTAAATCTTAAGACCTGAAACTAAAAATTCTGGAAGATGACATTGGAAAAACCCTTCCAGATATTGGCTTAAGCGAGTATTTCATGATCAAGAACCCAAAAGCAAATGCAAGAAAAACAAAGATAAATAGCTGTGACTTAATTAAACTAAGGAGCTCTTGCATGGCAAAAGGAACAGTCAGCAGAGTAAACAGACAACCCACAGAGTGGGAAAAAAATCTTCACAATCTATACATCTGACAAAAGACTAATATCCAGAATCTACAACAAACTCAAACAAATTAGCAAGGAAAAAAAACCCATCAAAGTGGTGCTAAGGACATGAACAGACAATTCTCAGGAGAAGATATACAAACGGCCAATAAACATATGAAAAAATGCTCAACATCACTAATGATCAAGGAAATGCAAATCAAAACCACAGTGTGATACCACTTTACTCCTGTAAGAATGGCCATAATCAAAAAATCAAAATATAATAGATGTTGGCGTGGATGCAGTGAACAGGAAACACTTCTACACTGCTGTAGGAATGTAAACTAGTACAGCCACTATGGAAAGCAGCATGGATATTCCTTAAAGAACTAAAAGTAGAACTACTATTGATCCAGCAATCCCACTACTGGGTATCTACCCAGAGGAAAAGAAGTCATTATATGAAAAAGATACTTGCATATGCATGTCTATTGCAACACAATTCACAATTGCAAAAATGTGGAACCAACCCAAATGCCTATTAATCAATGAGTGTATAAAGAAACTGTGGTATGTAGGTATGTATGTGTACATACATACACATATATATTACATATAAACATATATATAATGGAATACTATTCAGCCATAAAAAGGAATGAATTAATAGCATTCACAGAGACCTGGATGAGATTGGAGACTATTATTCTTAGTGAAGTAACTCAGGAATGGAAAACCAAACATCATATGTTTCACTCACAAGTGGGAGCTAAGCTATGAGGATGCAACGGCATAAGAATGACACAATGGACTTTGGGGACTCGGGGAAATGGTGGGAGGGAGGTGAGGGATAAAAGACTACGAATTGTGTGCAGGTATACTGCTCGGGTGATGGGTGTACCAAAACCTCACGAATCACCACTAAAGAACTTACTCATGTAACCAAACACCACCTGTTCCCCAACAGCCCAAGTAAATAAAAAATTTAAAAAGAAATTTAAAAAAGAAAAAGAAATGTGACTCCTAGTGTTGAAGTGGGGCCTGGTGGGGGGTGTTTGGGTCATAGGGACAGATCCCTTATGAAGGAGTTGGTACCTTCCCTGTGGTAATAAGTTCTTACTCTATTGGTTCATGCAAGAGCTGGTTGTTCAAAAGAGTCGGGCACCTCTTCCTCTCTCTTATGGTTCCTCTCTTGCTATGTGACATCTGCTTTCCTTTGCCTCTGCCATAAGTGGAAGCTTCCCAAGGCCTCCCCAGGAGCAGATACTGTGCTTTTTTGTACAGATTGCATAACCATAAGCCAAATAAGCCTCTTTTCTTTATAAATTACGCAGTTTCAGGTATTCCTTTATAGGTACACAAAGGACTAATAAAACCCCCTCTTTCATCTGTATGTAATCTTCAGTAAAAGGTTTGCCTGAGTCATCAGTGCTTTTGAGTTGGATTAGGCCTAAATGGACTTCCCCAAATTATCCCTGGACCATTGTCAAGAACCCCTTTGTAGAGAACAGTGGGCTAATGGGGTAAAGGAAATGGGGGGACCTAGTGGGGGATGTGACAGCGCCAAGAGCGCTACGTGCATGGGATGTTGGAAGGATTATGGAGAGTGTGGTTGCATCATGAAAATAGTGGTCTTGAAAACGAGATACAAAGCCTGACCCCTAAGGCAGGCAGTAGAGAAGTCTTGATTTTTGGAGCAGAGGAGGGATCCAGTCCAATCTGTGCTTTAGGGAGCAAACGGACTTTGGAGCAGCCCTGGAGACAGTTGATGATGTGGCCTTAGTCTATTTGTGTTGTTATAAAGGAATACTCAAGGCTCGGTAATTGATAAAGAAAAGAGGTCGGTCCATTTGGCTCATGGATCTGTAGGCTGTATAAGAAGCATAGCACCAGTATCTGCTCCTAGTGAGGACTCAAGCTGGTTCCACTTTTATTTATTTGTTTTTATTTTTATGTTTTTTGAGACAGCGTCTCCCTCTGTCATCAGGCTGGAGTGTAGTGACGCAATCTCGGCCCACTGCAACCTCCGCCTCACGGGTTCAAGTGATTCTCCTGCCTCAGCCTCCCAAGTAGCTGAGACTACAGGCAAGAGCCACCATGCCCAGCTAATTTTTTTTTTTATTTTTTAGTAGAGACAGGGTTTCACCATGTTGGCCGGGATGGTCTCGATCTCGACCACGTGATCTGCCCACCTTGGCCTCCCAAAGTGCTGGGATTACAGGCGTGAGCCACTGCGCCTGGCTTGCTTCCACTTTTAAAGGAAGGTGAAGGGGAGCCAGCATGTGCAGAGACCACGTGGTGAGAATGGAAACAAGAAAGAGACGGGGAGGGGCCAGGGTCTTTTTAACAACCAGCTCTCAGGGGAACTCTCAGGAGCTAGTAGAGTGAGAATTCATGCATCCTTCCCCAGGGAGGACATTAATCTATTCATGAGGAATCCACCCCCAGGACCCAAATGCCTCCCATTAAGCCCCACCTCCAACATTTGGAATCAGATTTCACTATAAGATTTAGAGGGTCAAACATCCAACAGTAACATTCCTTCCCTGGTCCTCCAAATCTCATGTCCTTCTCACACTGCAAAATACAATCATCTCTTTTTAATAGTCCCCAAAAGCCTAAACTTGTTCCAGCACCAACTCAAAAGTCCAAGATCCAAAGTCTCATTTTAGGCTCAAGGCAAGTTCCTTACAGCTGTGAGCCTGTAAAATTAAAAACAAGTTACTTGTTTCCAAGATACAATGGTGACACAGGCTGTTGGAAATAGATGTTTGGTGCCTCAAAGAAAAATTAGCACTGAGATGAAGGATCTTTCGGCAACACAATTTTTACTTTCCGGACTGCAGGAAAGGTACTCTCACTAGCCATTTTGCCACAAGAGTACAATAAACAAAGGAAAACAGACAAATTTATCCCTTATGCATTTGGGGTCATCCTTACTGCTATGTCTGATATCCATTGGCTGGAGCCAGATCTTACAATCTAAACTAAAACCCGATTGGCTAACAACTTAAAATTTTTTTAAACAGGTAAAAGCAATGGAGAGCTGGTACATGCCCATGAGCACATCCAACACAGATATCTTGGTTAAAGTACAAGGACATAGAATGTACTATGTGCCTATAAGCATGGCATGTCTAACAGCTACATAGGATAGGGCTTAACAAAGTATTATTAGCACACTTATGATTTATTCTTTAACAAGAAAGGAAACTTTAAAGAGGAACTTTTTAACTTCCCACACAGGCATTGGGTAAACATTCTCCATTCCAAAAGGGAGAAATTGGCCAAAAGAAAGGGGTAACAGTCCCCACGCAAGTCTGAAACTCAGCAGGGCAGACATTCAGTCTTAAAGCTCCAGAACAATCTCCCTTGCCTCCCTGTCTCACATTCTGGGCATACTGGTGTGAAGGGTGAGCTCCTAAGGCCTTGGGCAGCCATGTGGGTTCTGCCCAGCAAAGCCACAGGGGTGGAGATTTGAATGCCTGTGGTTTTTCCAGTCTGGAGTTGCATGCACCCAGTGGCTATACCATTCTGCTGTCTGGAGGATGGTGGCCCTGCTCCCACAGCTCCACTAGGCAGTGCCCAATAGAGACTCTGTGCAGGGGTTCCAATCCCGCATTTCCACTGGGCACTGCCTAAACAGAGTCTCTCTGTGGGGGCTCCACCCCTGTGACAGGCTTCTGCCTGGGCACTCAGGCTTTCCGGTGCATCCTCTGAAATCTAGGTCAAAGGTGCCAAGCCTCCACCACTTTCGCCTTCTGGGCACCTGAGACTTAACACCAATGAAGGCCATAGAGACTTATGGCTTGTTCCTTCTTCTGTGCAAAAAGGGCTCTGTCCTCCTGTAGCCCTCTTTCTCTGAACAAAGGAAATGTTTCCTGGAAGCCTTCAACAATCTTCAGGAGTGACACTGGGCAGTTGTGGGTCACACAGACACCCGTAGGCCAGGCCCTGGCAGAGGGCACAGAATGGCTGTGTTTGCTTTAGACCACAGCAACTTGTTCCCTGAGCTGGACGCACTGCCTAACAAAACTAGCCCTGCCCACACCTTTATCTAAGCCCTTCCAAGTACCCCATTTGAGCAGCCATCTGTTTCCTGCCAGGACCAGGCTGTGGCAGGGCTGCTGCATGGGCAGTGTGAGTGTGCTGCATCTGAGACAGGGCGTATGTGTGTGCAGTGCATCAGTGTGAATAAAGAGAGAAAGTGTGTGTGTGTGTGTGTGGGTGTGTGGGCGTGTGTGAATTGCAGAAAGGGAGAGAGTGAGTCCAGACAATAAAGCTACTTCGTCCATTGTTCCCAGTCCCCATGCTTGGTTCCCACCTGCTCTCCCTCCATCCAGGAAATTCCTCGTGTGAACAAAGCCTCCAGATGGAATGAATCAGCTGAAAAGCATAAATGACTCAAGCAGAAAGTCAGGATCAGCCTCCTTGGCCCCAGGTTCCTTTTTTTTTTTTTTTGCTTTTCAGAGTTTTAAGCTTCAGCTTTAGCCCTGGATTTAACCATTCAGCCGAACGGATGGCTGCTTAGCTGGCCAAACAGCCCAGGGACAGCTGGGATTCTCTGCACCCCAGCAGCTGCCCCTGGGGCTGTGCCACAAGAAGGTCGCCCCTTATCACAGCTCTCCTGAGTGGCACTGGCTGGAGTGGGAGAGCCAGTGGATACAGATGGCCAAGGATTCCAGGGTAAAAAAGAGAGCATTTGGTGCAGCAAAGCCAAATGGGCCACAGAACTCTCAGTGAGGGTAGCTGAGGTTGTTCAGAGCACAGCTTGTTCAGCCTGCATCCCATTTTCTCTCACTTGTCTTCCTACACACACACACACACACACACACATACACACACACACACACACACA